TGTGTGTGGGGCGTTGGGAAAGCCAGCCCCGGTTCACCAGCCCCCAAGTGAACGCTTGCCGTTACTGGGGTCCTAGCAAACAGGTCTCTGCAGCCTCCTTCTACAGAGGCATGATACACAGTTATGCTGTCCTCTGCAACGTTTTAGGAGAGGAGCAGAGTTTAGGGGTCAGCTCCAGCTGCCTGTCAGCTCTAGACACCAGTTTAAAGGTATTGCTCCCAACCCACATCTCCAGCATCAGCCTCTTCACTGCTTGATTTCATTTTTAAATTGCTTTCCACAGGGTTTCGTGGAGTTTGACAATGCATGCTTTGAGAAATACGGGAAAGTCTGGGGGTGAGTATTTGTATGAACCGGTGATCTCTTCTTAAGGTAAAACCAGAATCCATTCAAAGAGGAGGAAAAAAATGCATTAGGAAAGATCCCCTTTCTGTATCTGCAGGCCTATTGGCGGACCCTGGCGGTCCCGTGGCGGTGAGTACAGCAAGGGCAAGGTGCAGCGGTCTGCCTACATTAAGGCCTGATTGCAGGGCTGTGCCACCGCCGTGCTATATAGAAGTTAATTTGCCCTATACTATGAAAACTGTTTTAAAACATACGCAAGAGCCCCTCACCCCCTTCTCACAAAATTGGTAGCAAAGAACTATCTACTTAAGGGAGAGTTTGGAACCGGAAAGTCAAGTTCTTCGGGTTTACAGGCAGCAGAAAGAATGTGCGTGAACTCCCAATACTGAGAGGAGAAACAGATCCAAGGTCCACTGCCTTCCTTGTGTCCCTGATCCTCACCTACGACAGTGCAAAGTGTAACAGCTACCACCTCTATACCCTGGGCATTTCTTATGGCTGCTATTACTACTGCTATAACTTGGAATACAAACTTACGTGTCTTCTGTAATGCATCCATTGATTTCCATAGCAAATTTTTTTTTTAAAGTTACAAGTCTGGAAAACAGATCTTTACATGAAAGGGGAAAATGCGTAGATCCACTTAGTCTACATCTGTTCAAGGAGAGCGTTCAGAACTGGCAGTTGAAAAGAGACAAAAACAAAACTCAAGTTTTTATCTCCAAGGATGTTCCAGTGTTGTCAGCCCAAGTCTCCAGACACCCAATTCAAGAGAGTGGAAGGGGTCGAACAAGTTTCCTTCTAATACTGTAATGTGTTTAAGTGTCTGGAAAAACACAGAGAGTCAAGGGAGAAAGTGAAGACACTTGCTTCATTTAGTATCTGCTCCTTCGAGGGACTGAGCCCTGCTCATTTCCCAGTGAATGTGGGAGGTGTTTCACTCTCTTCATCATTTACAAAACCAGATGGGTAGCCTGGGAGCCCTTTTCCAGCTCTAATTTCTATATTTCTTCATTCAGGCATTTGCTGACCGGCAAGGCTAGTGACGGAGAAGCATTTCTTTACCACATGTTGCTTCCCGAACGTCAGCAAAGCCCTGCATGTCAGCTCTCCGCGTCTGCTTAGCTGTCTCCTTCCCTCTCCCCACCAGGTTTTACGACGGCAGGCAACCTGTGCTGGCTGTCATGGATCCCCAAATTATTAAAACTGTGCTGGTCAAAGAGTGCTACAACATCTTCACCAACCGGAGGGTAAGAGCAGCAGCTTTGCAATGTATCAGTCTCGAAGACATAAAAGTACAGCCGGAAACAAGCGCACCAAGCATGTTGCAGCGTTTCCCTCAGGAGATGGAGTGACTGCACTATTGGGATTACCGTAAATGGCCACTATATGTCACTATTCCCCTGCTGTACAAGAGCTGGGGGCACCCCAGATACCCTGGCTGGCGGAGGAAGCTGTTTGCCTGCACTTTGGGCAAATTCTGCTCTCACACTAGTAAATGAGGGAGGAATTTGTCCATCCGGGGGAGCGTGCCTGAGTCTATAGAAGTCCAAGCTGGAGCGTGTGCTGTCCCGCAACTCCCAGCTCCGTGCGAGGGCTCTGGGTTCGTGCGCTTAGACGTGCGCGTGTCCCCAGCTGCTCCGATGCATTTGGTTCCTTATTCTGAATAGGGAAACGGTATCTCCAAGCTGCTTTACTGCCAGAAAGTGATTATGTAGAATATATGCCTTAAAAGAGACTGTTTGTAAGGCCTTAGCCTGCTGCCAGTAATAACGCCGCAGAGCCACCGGGCAGGGAGTTGAATGCTGCATTCGCATCCGCTATCTTTTGCAGGCTTGTGACCTTGCCTTTTTCCCTCCAGCACGCAGATCTAGCAGGGCCGCTGAGCAACGCTATCTCGCTAGCTGAAGATGAACACTGGAAAAGGCTTCGTACTGTGCTCTCTCCAACCTTCACCAGTGGGAAACTAAAGGAGGTAATACACAGTGGATCAGGTGCAAACTAAATTGGAAAGTCAGTAGACAGAGTGTTTTCAGGTTCAGGTAGTCATAGGGGTCTAATTTCTTTAGTCAGAGGCTGGTGACTAAGCAGGCCTGTTTAATTTATGCCTCCTAATGTAAACAGCTTAAAAAAAGCTTAAGTTAAAGACTCGACAGAAAGATCTTATTTGTAAATATTTATGAAACTGCTACAGTCCTTTGTAAGCCTGTCTTAAAGGAGTAAAATGCACCATATTGAAGTGACTGGCTCTGGTTTGTTTTGCAGATGTTTCCCATAATAAAGCACTATGCGGAAGCTTTGGTGAAAAATGTTCAGAAGGAAGTGGAAAAGGACAAGTCTATAGCTGTGAAGGAGTAAGTAAATGCTAGGGGCAGCAGGATACGTAGCAAACCTTGTTAGCAAGTGCTGTGGTTCATTCGTTCCCGGCAACATAGATCACTCTCTTGGTAGACCAGACTTCTGAAATGAATAACAGGGCTAACTGAAAGACTGGCTGGAAATCTCAAAGGGAAAATTTAAGCTGGGATGTTAGTGAAACCTCCTGGAGGCAGAGACCCATGGAAGAGCCTTCTAAAGGGAATTAGATGGAGAAAAAGGTGCTTGAGCACAGCTTTGTGAATCCCTGCAGGAAAATCCCGTTTTCCTGTGCATACTCAGGATCTCTGTACTCTTCCTTCATGCTCAGCAGTATGCTGGGCTGCCTTGGTGCACATGAGACTCCCAACCTGCATGCAACCCTGTAGGACGCTTTTCCATCCCTTGCCACACCACCTGTGCTTGGCAGAGGGAGGAAGGCTGTAGTGTGGCCCAGGTTCTCTGTTGCCCTCATCTGCACCCTCTGTTTGGAGCAAAACCTGCATGTTTCACCTGAACTTCAATAATTCAGGTATGGAAAGGGCAGCTGTACACTAGCACTTACACATCAGCAAAACTCTGTGTTACCAAAAACCCCATAGCCTAAAGGACCATTCATACTGCCACATGGCCATGCTGGGTCAAACAAAACTGCTTCCATGGTGCGTTCTTCAAAGCAGCGTGTGTTACTGCACATGCCCCTGAGGAGAAGCTAACGTGCTCGAGAGCCACATGCTATCCTTGTAGTAACCTGTTCATGTAGCCACCTGCTGTTTAATGTCCCCAGAAAGGCTGTCTGCTTGCAAGCTATGTGAGTTTGAAACCACAGCTTTAAAAAAAAAAAGTCTTTCATTACAAATGCTTCCCAGTTGCCACATATCCAACATCCTTTTCAATACTGGGAAAGAAGGCCTCATGAGAATTCCTTTTTTTAGTGGGACATAGGCATTATTCATGTATTCCAAATATTTAACCACAGCCTATCTTTTCTACCTTTCCTCAGCATCTTTGGAAGCTACAGCATGGATGTTGTCACTAGCACTTCGTTTGGTGTGAACATTGATTCCATGAACAACCCCAAAGATCCATTTGTCAGAGAGATGAAGAAGCTCGTCAAGTTTGACTTTTTTGACCCGCTCTTCATTCTGATATGTAAATGACTTTTTTTATTGAAAACTTCATTTTCATGTTGCAGAGTACCATAAAGGTGTGCCTTTAGCAAGGGTATCAGACGCTACTGCATCCTATACATTAGCCAATCAACTACTATTAGGTAACTTTACTATCTAGGATGAAAGTCCTGCCAGTCTTGGCTTCTCATTTCCCCACTGCTAGTCTCATGCTAAAACTCTGCAAAGGAGGTAAGATTGGAAGTCGGCTACTTACTATTTTTATCTATAATCAAATGATGCTGGTGAAGCTTAGTGGGCTGATCTAAATCATTTGGTTGATGTAATCCTGACCCAGTAACATTATCTAGTGTTACTGCTAGACGCAAGGTAACACACCTGGGAAAGAAGAGCTCAGTTGACATCCCCTGAAGGGGAAATCCTGTCCTTGAAATGGTGAAACATGAGCTGTAAATATAGTGCTTCAGGTTAAAGAGTTCCTGTAAGCTACTTTTTTTTTCCCTTTTTTTTTTTTTTAAAGCGGGACTGTTAAGCAGTATTAGAGAAGAGATCTTGCAACCTTAAATCAAGATTATATACCTTGCTAAAATACAGGGAAAATTGTAATCTGTGTGTAGAGGAGGTTCTAGTGCTGTAAATTTTATGAATCTATAAGCAAGCTCAGGATCCAGCTTCTGTGTTGAAGGAAATGCCCTGACGAGGGCTTGAAACTATTTGTATGAGCATAACAGAGCAGTGAACGGCCCAGCTTGAAAGGATTTCAGAACTTAAAGTATTTCTGTTTTGATTCACACTCTTGTGGTAGTGCTGTATAAAGCACAGGAGAAGTGACCTGTCCTTAGAAAACAGTGCCTTAGTATAAGCAGATGGCATATACTTTAGTAGTCTTTTAAATAAAAATGATACCCAATTCAGACATGCCCAGTTCACAGGAACTTGGAAGAGGGTTGTGTCAAGACAAACTAACCCGAAGAGAGAAAAGAGCACACCCCAGGCAGAAAAAGGAATCAAGAAGGAAAATAATTTAAGGAAAATAATTTCTTGGGAATGTTATTGCTTCCTTGCTCGCAGCCACAGCTATTTTATGAGATAAACTTTGTTTACAGTATGTGACTTCATTCTCGATTTATTTTTCAGTTGTTTGCCCATTCCTTATTCCTCTTTTTGCTAAGATGAATATAAGCTTCTTCCCCAAAGATGCTGTAGATTTCTTCATAAGGTCAATCTCCAAAATTAAGAAGAATCGTGAAAAGGAAACCCACCAGGTAAGCTAGCATGAACCTGCTTGTGGCAGAAAATACTTTCTTTCCAATAAGCCAAAGTGAAAACCAGTTAAGGTGACAATATCAAAGGTGAATCCAACATCCAATGACTCAACAAGAACCCAAAGCTGCTTAATTGTAAGCACCTGATTTTAATGTTGTAAGAATAAACTCTCACTTGACCAGTCACACAGAGGAGCACAATAGACTTTGTATATCCGTGATCTGATGCTAAATCCTGGTAAACGCTCCACAGAACTGGATTAAGCTTAGGTTTGCAAAACTTGTAATAAATCAACAGACTAAGACACTGATCTTCCCTGGAGAAGATTAGGCAGAGGAAAAGAGAGAAAAAAAAAGAGTAAGCGGTACAATAGTACAGGAACAAGAATACTGCCTTTTTCAGGATTGTGCCTTCCCCTTTCTCCTTTTTCAAAAAGTGAAGGTGCTTCCTGGCAAAATTCTCCCTCTTAATTTGGATTTCTTTTTGTGAAATTCATTTATGAGATAGTGCTCTGCCAGCCAATGTCTTCGTAAAAAACGCAGATAAGTTTTCAACATAAAGGGCAAGTGTTGGCTTTTACAACAAGGAAGTCACAATGCATTTTGGGGACCGTCTCAGTTTAAAATATAAAGTTTAGGCTATTAAATCTATTTATTCAAGCCATCCTTGACTACTCACTTGTCACAAAAGAAACTCTCCTGTTTTCCTTCTCAGGGCAGAGTAGATTTTCTGCAGATGATGATTGAATCCCAGAACTCAGCCTCTCCTGGCAGCAATGAAGTGAATCACACGTATAAAGGTAACAGCCTCCAAAAAATGCATCATGGGAGCAGGGGCTGTGGGGTGGAGGAGAATATGGGTAGCTGAGTTTCCTAGAGAAAGCCTAAATGGTTCACCACCCTCTCCAGGAAAAGCAGGAAGAACCAGCCAGCTCCAGGCAAAAGTCTGTCCCCTGTTGCCGGCGCTGGGGCTGTGGTGAATCGTCCAAGTCCTTTGCCAGGCCTTAGGACTGCGGTTTCAATCGTTTATACCTAGGAAATTGTCTGGCTTCTCTGATCAGAGGACTTTTCCCACACAGATGGCAAAACAACTGTGAATCTAGGCTATCAGGAAACAACCACAGCACAACCACAGACTTGTCGGAAACCCACCCCTTGCTCCCTGTTTCTTGCCACGACTGTTAATTCCTTTTCAGCTTAACTTCACATGTTCCCTTCCCTCACAGCCCTGACTGACACGGAGATTCTGTCACAAGCGGTTATTTTCATCTTCGCTGGATACGAGCCCACCAGCAGCACGCTTTCCTACCTTGCGTATGAGCTGGCCACACACCCTGACGTACAGCAGAAACTGCAGGAGGAAATCGATTCTGTTCTGCCCAACAAGGTACGGGACCCTTGAGAGAAGGCACGGATCGTCACTGCGCCGGGGCGCCGGGGCGGGGGGGGGTCTTCTTTCTAATTCAGTCGAGGCAATGACAACTCTTTAGCTAGATGTTCTCCTCTGGGATCTTCCAAATGCTCTCAGAGGTATGTAGTAGGAAAACTCAGCTCTGCAGGGATTTCATTTTGGTAGTTGAAAATTTACCTCCAAAACACTTATTTCAAGAATATTACATGAAGTTGCATTTATAAACTGTACCGTGACTCTGTCGCAGCCATGATCCTGTTGTGCTCTCTCTATCCCGTCCTACCTTGCTTTGTTTTAAGTTTTTTAATGTACATTGACTTCTTCATGAGAGGGCAGCAAAGGGAAACATGAGGTGGGGGAAACTCACTGCAGTCCCAGGAGGGGATGCACCACTCAGCTACTCTCACCTCTTTTCAGAGATGCTCATCACTGGGTGTGTGATCCCTCATGCTGCACAGATGTACCATCAGCATCACAGGCCACCCAGCTGCACGAATGCGTTTGCCGTACTTGTAATCCATGCACAAATGGCTATGGATTTCTAGTAATTTCTGTCCTGCAGGGACAGAAAATGAAACCAATTTTACTATTTCACACCTTACATTTTGTTCTTCGGGCTGTGGCATAGAGGGGGCTGGGGACACAGTGGTTTCAGCAGTCATTTTAGGGAAATCTAATCGTTACGCTAGCATACCGGGTCACCGTTGTCCTGCTGCTTGGCAGGCTCCGCCCACGTATGAAGCTGTGATGCAACTGGAATATCTTGACATGGCTGTGAACGAAACTCTCCGGCTCTTCCCTCTTGGAGGACGACTTGAAAGAACCTGCAAGAAAAGCGTAGAAATAAACGGTGTGACCATTCCAAAAGGGGTTGTGGTTATGATCCCACCCTACACCCTGCACCGCGACCCCGAGCACTGGCCGGAGCCGGAAGAGTTCAGACCAGAAAGGTACAACTTATGTAATGAAAGGGAAGAAATATCATGCTGCTCTTTCTCAGATACAGTAATTAATTCTTAAGTATTAGCCTCTAATTAATAAACTCCCAGTGGTGGCTAATTTTTTTTTTACACAAACAAATAACGGCAGTTTGAGAAGTTGCAGGGTCATGGGAGCAGCATTTTAAGAAGATGAGCTTTGTCTTTAAAGTAGGATTTCAAACATAATCTTGTTGGGAGAATAACATGGACACCTCACAACATCTTGTATGAAATTTTCAAGCTTACTGACAATGTATGCCTAGCTTGTTAGAATTTTTTATAATCATAACTACTAGTAGTAGTTAATAATCCTCATAGCTGAGCCTGCCTCCTTCATGCAGGCTTCGCTACAGAGAATACCAGAGCTGATCTCCTTCAGCTGATCTCTCCTTGGTCTCGGTGAAGTTGTAACTTTTCCCTAGTTCGTTGCTTTTATAAATGGTATACGCCTGTCAAGGTTCCCATCCAGACTGAAACCGCAGGCTGCTCCTGACAAAGGTGACTCCTGGTCTAGGGACCACCGAAAGCAAATAACGGTCTTTTGGGGAGACAGCATGTTGCTCTCAATTTCTGATGTTCTGGAAGGACAGTACTGCATTCAGACACTGAAGTGAGATCCCACCCCTAGTCCTGGGCTAGGGCTCTGACACAGTCGTAGACTGATGGGCCATGCTGATACACCTTGCTGATAAAAACAGCAAGTTTCTGTGGTGCACCAGCAAGGGGAGGTGCTCTCTAAATAGGTAAATACAAAGACAGGTAAAGAAGCAGCTTTTTCTTTTCCTGCTTCCTTCATTCTTTTTGCACTAACACATGTCATTAACCAGGTTCAGTAAGGAAAATAAAGAGGCCATAGATCCGTATACGTTCCTGCCCTTCGGAGCGGGTCCCAGGAACTGCATTGGCATGAGGTTTGCTCTCCTGACTCTGAAAGCGGCCATCGTCATCCTGCTGCAGCATTTCACCTTCCGGACCTGCAAGGAAACTCCGGTGAGGAACACGCACCATGTTTTGAAACTCACATGAGAAAAGCTGGGTGACTTGGTAATAGCTCGGTTATGGTGATAACTATTACCATAGGTACTAAAACCAGGCTGCTTTGCACTTCCAAAGAAGGTGGGTCCCTCTCTCCAGTACTGAGAGTTGCAGGTGGGTGACAGTGGAACCAGGGGAAGAGTCTGGTTTGCCAGACCTGCGGTTCTGTGCTCTGACAACTAGGTTGTATGGTCAGCTGGCAGACTGTAATGAACAAATTTTGGGGAGTTTTTCTATGACAGAGTAGCAAAACCTAGAAAAAGTGGATTTATATTGTGTTTGAGTCCGACAGAGGGTTGCTGAGGACCTTCAATTTCTGCAGAAGTTAAGCAGCTCCCAGAAACAGGTGTTTCTCACCTACATGAGTTTTCTGTAATGCAGCTCCAGGCTAGGAGTAAACTTAATTGGATGGGTGCTTTGACGGAAGGTTAAGAGAATGTCTCATGTCAGCAAAAGTTTACCACTGTGGATCGAATAGGGTCCAGACTGAGGCTGGGTTTCTTTTCTTTAATCTCTACATATTTCATTTGTCCATCTTCACATGTTTTTTCCCCCCCTCTCTTAATGTTGCAGATCCCTCTCAAGCTGAATTCACAGGGATTCTTAACACCCCAGAAACCTATTTTTCTGAAGTTAGTCCCTAGAACTGACACTACACCTGCCAAGGCATAAAACCCAGCGGAGTTTGCAACAGTCCTCCGGAGTCTGATGGATACTGTGTGAACAAGGGTTTGCATATCACAGGAAAGCTCTCACATACACATATGGAAGAGCAGCTCTAGTTAATTCTGGAAGCAATTACTGCATATTTACCCCAAAACATAGCTGTCAGAAATGTAATGTGGTTCACTGGGCAGTGACAATGTACAGCTTTCCTACTCGTGATTGCAGAAAACAGGAAATAAATCCAACTGAGGAACTGATCATCCGCTCACTTCTAGGGGGACTTCTCCATCTGGAGATACTGTCGCATCCAAGAGAAACAAGGTGTGATGGAAATGCAAATCGCTAGACCTAGCTGGGCAGGGACGGGTGATGTTCTTCTCAATGTCTTAATGCTTGAAGTGTTGTGTGTTATGCAATTGAGCCAACTGGTGTGAGACTATATCCTAGCTACCAAACCTCTCTTGTGCCATGTGTTAATTAAACTAAAGTGTGTACAAATATTGTCATTAAAAATATTTGAGAGCTGCTCTGTGTTGTGTATAGCAGCTGAGTGCTTCCTATTTAAAAACCGTATTCAGCCTCAACCCTTGAAATTATCTGTGTACATTGCTTTCCACTTAATTTAATGAATCTGATCCTTCATTTAACGCGATCAAACCCTCATATTGGTAAGGTATTTTACAAACAATATAACTGCCACCTCTTAGTCTGATTAGGAGGTTGCCTTCAGCGTGGCGCTGTGCAGCCATTCGCAGCTCTCGCCCTATCAGCGAGCCCCCTTCCAGGAGCAGCTTGCTGCACGAGATGACGGTAGCTTCACGGAGGGCCGCTGCTCTTGAAGAAATTGCCTGGATGGGGCTTGTAGCTGCAGCCCGTTCTGGCTTGCTTCCTCGCAGAGCCTGGGACGCGGCCTGCCCCACGCAGCCCCATTGCCCAGCATGCCGTGGTGGCTGGGCACGAGTCACTTTGCTCCTCAACTGCTCAGAGCAGCCTACGGCTGACGCCCCACTTTTGGCGCAGCCGGCCGTTAGGGTGGTGCTTCTGCCAAAGAGCCCTATGCTGCAAGCGTGTAAACGGGAAACATCAAGACAGGTGAAATGTTCTACTGGCTCTGGATTTCTCACACCACATAGCACCACAATATTGCATCTTGTCCCGATGCCTAAAAACCAAGAGGGATGCTAGTAACATGGGAAAGGTTTGGAGGGGAGCCACAAGAATGATCAAGTTACCCCTTAACTGTTTTTGATAAGCTTCCGGCAAGCCTTCCCTCCAAGGCATGTTTTCCAATCCTCTTATCTTTGGTAATAATTTTCTCTCCTAGCCACATACTTTTGATAAGGAGGTCTCTTTAGCCTAGCAAACAAAACTACGTGATCCAAACATGATAATCTGACATAGTGAGAGATTATGTAAGAATTCAAAGTCCATTCTTTAATGATGCTGCTAATTAACACTGGGAGAGGTCAGCCAACTGTGTGGTAGATTCATCATTGCTGGGAATCCTTAAACCAAAACTGGCCTTTTCTCAGGAGGACTTGATAAAATTCACTGGGCCTTAATTCAAGAGAGTTAGCAGCTTGCGCTGTCCCAGAAGGCAGATAAAACAATTGTAGTGTTCCCCTTTGATTCACAAACTGTGAAATATTGTTTGGATTCTGCTATATACACAAAATGGTGCTATTAGAAGTGCTGTCAGTAAAGCCCTCTCTATTGCTCATCTCTTATAAGAGGTCAAAAACCATTAGTGAGGAACTGTGTCTATCTTGCCCCTGCAGCGCTGCAGCATCAGCTTTGATGGGAAAAATGCAATACCCCTACATGTTCACAGAAGCTAAACAAAAAAATGCATTTTACCCTTAGAAAAATAGTGCCAGGCAAAACTAACTCCAGATTTAAGAAAGAGGACACCATCACAAAGAAGATATCTTTAGCAAAGGTCGCCTGTAGGCCAAACAGCTGCTTCAAAGCAAAGGAAAGTCACTTTGGTATCTCCTGAACAAAACTGAACTCCCATGCACGGTGCTCAGGACAAGAAAGGGTTAATCTAGCCATAACCCAATACAGGCCGTTCCTATACTGTGCATGGCATCTCCGGGAACGAAGTCATTAGGGTAACTGTACAGATCCTTCATTCTTCCAAATATGAAAAATGTGAACAATTCTCTGGCATGAGCCAATTATGACCTGCCAGGACTATCATAACAGCTCATAAATAATATGTGTAACAAAATCATGGTAATGAGTCTTCTAGAAGAAAATTAGATCCTCTGTGTCCTAACTGCATAAAATGACTTTGCTTATACAGGCTGCCTCCATCATTCCTAGCACTTTCCGTTGCTTCACTAAGCATCATCACTTTGGGCAATCCCGCAGAGCAGGAAGAGGTATATGATTTGGCCAGCAGTCTATTAGTCCTTGTAGCTATGCATTCATCACATTTATTTCCACTGTTTCGGATGTTTCCTCTTTACCTGGGCATATCACTGTCTAAGCTAAAAAAAACCCCAGTGCACATGCGTTTTGAGTACTAAGATGTTTTCGCTGATAAAAGATATTGGCCTTATACAGACAGTGTTGATTTCTTCCTTAACTGTTGATCTTTTTGGTACGTTAGTGATAGGGACATTGTATTGGCCCAAGATATCTGGGTTTTCTGTACCAGAGGAATACTCTTCCAGCTACAGCATAACCACAGAAGTTAATTTTGGGGACACTTCTTTTTCACTTTCTTCTTTAAATCCCTCTCAAATTCAAAGCAAAAAAAAGAAAGGGGAGGAGAGCAGAAAAGAATATCCATGTTACATCAGCATTTTAAAAAAATTCACTTTTCTCGAGGATCTTTTCGACTCTCAGACAAGTTATTGTCCATGGGATAACCTCTATCACTGTGCAAGAGTACAGAAATTGTACCCTGATAAAACATTAGCATTGACCAGTCATTCAGGAAGATTTCTATATATTTGCGGATGATTATACCCCGTCCTACTGAAAGGCTTGCTGGGAGCTTTCCAAAAGAGAGATATAGCCCATGATATGAGAACTGTTATTATATCAGTTCTGATGAAACACAAGAATGGTTATAACTGGGGAGATTTGTTTTCTGTTTCTCAATTAACTGTAACAGAGTAATCATCAACATTACAGTAACTTGCCTAAATGATGCAATTCTTTCAATTAATTGCAAGTGGATTTCAAGAAAAATAGATTTCCGGCTTACAGCAAAGGATAAGTATTTTGCATGCATCACCAAGTCAATTATTAAGTGTTTCAATCATCGGTCTGAGCCCTGACAGACAGAAGAATGGCCTTACTCTATTATCAAACTTAGTGGCCTTTAAGTATTGAAGTCCTGTGCAATTCCATCTTGCCCGTAAAGTGAAAAATAACATATTTTCAGCCATATTTCACCTGGAAAAAGGAATGAGGCAATGTTGCTCCTTCCCCTTGCTTCCTGTTGATACGCAACTTCTCTATTGACACACTGGCGTTGGATGCCTACACGTTAAAAGAAGGTGCACAAAGGAAAAAAAAGTTGGCACGTGGAAATAGTTTAGTTTGAACAGTCCTGCCTTCCTGTTTAATCTCCCTATTAGAATGAACAAGCCAGTCTGGAGAATTACCAGGTGGTGACAGATAGTTCAGAAATGGGGAAAATCTGCAGCTGAATTTATGCACTTACATCACCTCTGTCTGTTGCAAGGGATAGAATTAGGCATATTGAATTCCACACCATGTAGATAGAGAATTTTGAAAACCCTTACCATTGCACAAATGTGGACAGGATATTTTATTTACTGCATCATTAAAGGTTAAAGAGAGTCTATGTTCTCCAGAGGATTCATTTTTTTCAACCCTTAATATCAATTAAAGCTAATTTCAGCTCTACCCTAATGATTAACATAAAATATGGAAAAAGCTCTAACTGAGCATTTCTGTTCATTACTTAGAAATTCTCCTGTGTTGCTAGGGTACTTTATAGGTACTGATGAAGCTTTATTTCACCCATGACACAGTTAATTTTACCTGCAGAGCTTTATTTTGCCACGTCTTCAACTGTTCAGTAACAAAGACGCACTGAACACCTTTGAGGATATGGATCAAAGATTTTATTGAACCAGTTCAAAGTTCATGATCAGCGGATGTTCTCTACAGGCTTTCCTACACCGCTTGGTCTCTGCAAATACTCAGATGCAAGCTGATTTCACTACATGACCAGCAGCCTCTAAATCATATGTATATATAGTCATGTATATAGGGGTATTCTGATAAATTTTGTACAGTCAGAAGTCTGCAAATGGAGTAGCAAAGATGATATCTGTTCAAGGCAGAATGAAAAACTTTGCTTACCACTTATGAACTGAAGCCAGTCCAGTACAGCTGGATGCATTACCTGTCTTTGCTTGGCAAAATAACTCCAGCAGCATACCATTGAGTGCCAAGAAAAAGAACAGGTTATAGTCCATCCCCTAGACTATGTCAGAGTTTTATCCAGCCCAGCTTAGAAGGCACAGATGCCACACAGTCCTAGGGCTGTCTTGCTGGTTTTGCCCTGGAATAATAGGTAATAGGGCTGGAAAACACTTATGGAAAATGGATCACATAGACCAACCTGCCTCCATCATGGAGAACAGGGTCTTGCACTCACTTGCCCCAAGCTTGTCTAACCTTTTCAGAAACTTGTCTCTTGTATACTAATTTTAAGGTATTGTTAACAAACACTAATCTAGGATCGATTTGTATCCAAAGGTCACAGCAAAAGCCAGAGGGAAGGTAAGGAGCAATACAGATGCTCCTAAGAGAAGGTCAGACGCTGCCACTCAGACTGCTCTCTGGTGGTAACTAGATGTCAATCAACCCATCAGCAGCATTAGCAACATCTGTGGAAGTGATCAGACCTCTGATGCTCCCAATAATTATAACTTAGACTTCAGTAGAAGCCAGCAAGATGTAAAAATGAGGGATGTACATTCCCCCCACAAGAAATGAGGCATGCTGCCCAGGTTGGCAGTTCCACTCACCCACTCAGGAGTCTGCAGGGCACTGCGCTGAGCTGTGCCAGGCTTCGCAGACAGTTCACTGAACCTGCTTCTCTCTTTTTCCTCATCATTTCAAGATCGCAGGGTTTTTTTTTTTTCTTTCTCATATTCTGAATTTTTGTGTTTAGCTTTCAGTCATTGGAACCCATTTGGCTGGGAGTAAGTGAAACAGCTCTCTGTTAAATGGAAGAGGTACCTAATAAAGTTTTAATGGAAGATATTATTCCTGTTCTTTACATTACATTAAAAGCCATTCAGGAAATGAAAGCCCAAGAGGGTTAAGCATATTGGAAATACTCAGTAAGACATAGTCCGTTCTTCAGGGGCTTCTCAGTCTAAATGTTACCCTAAGAAACATAACATGCAGCAAACAGAATCAGCCTGTGCTAGTACAGACTTATCAAGCATATATATATATATATATGTGCATGTGTGTGTGTATATACACACGCATTCACCTAAAGATAAAAGCAACAAGGAGATTCCAAAGGAAAAGACCACGCAGGTGGTGAGCACAAAGGAAGAGAGGGATCTATTTTGCCTCTCGGGAGGCTCTGCAATGCCAGGTTTGTTATGCACTTGGTGCGATGGCAGCACTGCCCTGGGCACAGTCAAAACTTGTCTCCAGAGCATAAGGCAGCTCATATGCTCACACACATCCAGTCCCCTGGCAGGTGCTGCAAGCTGGACTTACTAGGCAGCCAGGCCCAACCTGTATTATCCTGAAGGGCTCACAGGCCAGAGCTGTCCTGGGAGAGAAACTTTCTGGAGATGCAAAATTCAAAACATCGGGGAAGTTGCCAAGGGATCTTTGTATTAAGACTACATCTACAGCTACTGTCATGGGCAGAGGAAGAGTAGCGCTAACGAGAAGCGTTTGGGGTAAGGAATTTAGTGCCTGGAGCATGGAACAATGCATTTACCTGCCACGCGCCACCAAAGTATACAGCTCCTCTGTGCCACTAACATCCAAATACCAAAAATGTTGCCAGCTTAATTTGTTTTTGTGTGATTTAAATCAAGCGGGTCAGTTTGGGCTCTTCATTGACTCACATCTTGAATTTCAGAAACCTTCTCACCACCCACGACTTCCTAGCTGTCATTGTCTTGACATGCCAAACTTCCCCTTGCAATGACAAGAGCAGTTACAGAAACCTCTGTTTTCTGGAGGAACAGTACAGAACTGAACAGCCTTCAGCCTCCCTGGGGGGCAGTGACTTTCCAACACGCTAACCAGGAAAACAGTTAAAATGGGTCAAGAGACCACTACAAATATTTTATTTTTCCTTTGAATTACTGAGCTTTGAGTTTGAAAAGTCTACCTACTGGCTGAAAGGGACTACATACAATTACTGATGCTTGAGATGCTTTTGTAACCGCTTAAAAAATAAAAGAAAACTATTCAAAGGGATAGATTATTTATACTGTCAACAATATTTGAACTGTAAGGTGCTAACACTTCAAAATTTCCCCTCTTGGTTAAGCAACCAAGTACTTTCAGTCTTATGATCTGTGCTGTGGCAGATCCCACCCATATACACACACACATCCTGTTTTCTCTGTTTTCACTTGAAAATGTCACAGCGAAAGCTCTGTCGCTGTGCTGGAGCAGCCCCTTTTGTAGAGTGCGGGGGCTGAGAGCCAGCACATGTTGCAGCTACAATCGTGCGCTCCTCCACCCGTCCTGGTCCTCTGCCGCTTCTAGAGGGCATTGGTCAGAGGAGCAAAATTTGCTCTACAGATTAAGTGGCCCAAACAATCCTGCTATAACAAGGATTGTCAGAGCCAATTCAAGTGATAGCTCCAGAAAGACAGGCCACCCCCCCCTTCCCTGGAGAGCAGGTAACACCCCAGAAGCATGTCTGTAATCGCTGCAGCTCTACACACACACATGGACACACACGTGGACACATAGACATTTCCACTACGTCACTCAGCCTGACCCTTCCCCAGAGGGCAGCAGGACAGCTTGGTACCATTCCCACAATTTGTGGGAACACCCTGCAGAGGTTCAGCATTAAATCAGTGTTTTGCTTTCGTTGGGCCTCTTGGCCAAAGCAAACATGGGGGCTATATCAAATTGCACAAGCCCTATACTCACCTTGTCCTCCTAGCAAGCAGCACACAGCTATCAGGCAGGACTAGTCCTGAAGAAAGAATATTGAACATCTGGGCAGAGTTTTGGCCCAGCATTGCCCTCGGGAAATGTCCTGCAGGTTTCACAAAACCTGCTGTAGACTTGGGGCATCAGATGGGTGAATGATTTCCAGACGCTCACAAATGTATTTTACAACTTCAGGTGTCAGCATTCATCAGCACTTACATTTATGTGATGAGTGTCAACGAGAAGTAAAATCATCCCTTCTAGTCCCCTGTCCTCTTTCTTGTCCACTGCAAGGGGTCTTGATCCGAATATCTTGATCCAAAACAAGGATTGCGTGACAGAGATCCTGCCCCGGAAGTTTGCAACCACTGTCCCAAATCCAATATTTCAAAAGCTGTTTTAACATAGAAAAAGGCAAACAAAAATGCTGAAGCATAAATCTTCATAGGGATCCAGTAGGCCCCGAGGTGGAAGCAATAATGATACAAAGCGAACAGAAATCTGCAATGCTGTCAATATTACTCAACAAGAAAAGCCATCAGGAGGAAGCTATCTGACACACTGCTGTGCTAACCCAGGGCTAAGGACAGCAAGAGCAATAAGAGAAATTAAAATGCATGTTCGCAAAATCCGGTGCACGATAACTTCTGGCACTGCTTTGGTTTATCTATTACAAAGCCATGTCTGCTTTGTGTTGGGTTTTCTGCTTTCTTCTGCTGCCTCCTCTCTGCTAGCTGGCAGGAGGGCTGGAGCAGATCTTTGGCATTTTGCTGAAAGTTTTAAATATCGGTTTCCTTTGGAGCGCCTGTTCCTTTCTGAGATGATAGTGGTTGCCCTCTGGGTGCCCTCCCTGAATGTGTGCTGCAGCTGTACAGCTTATTGTTTGTTTACCACATTTATTTAATAATTTCCAGAATACTTGGGTTTTGGACCCTCTTGTCCATTAGCTTCTGCCTGTCCCAATGCATTCTCTCTATTGCTTCCAGATAGACCTTGAAACCCAAAAGCGAATCCCTTGGGCAGCTGTTAGAGCCATTTGAACCCAGGGGAACATTTCCGGCCTCTAAATCGTCCTGGGAACCACAAGATTGGAAAACAGACACATTGAGTGGCCTCCCTGTCTTCACTCTTGGTGTTTGTAGCTGAGAGAATAATGCAGTGAAGAGCATCAGGTCAGATCGCATGCCAGTGGATGCACGCACTTCTGTGCGTGATCTGCCCATGCCTCTGTCCCTGGGCAGCTGTTGCCCAGGCGGTGTAATCTCAAAAGTCCTAAGCTTCTCTTGACAAATCACTACTGAAATCGTTGTCCATTTTAGTATTCATCTTTCATTTGTAATTTCATTTTAAAATCATTTCTGCAGGGTTTGCTGGATTTCAACCAAAATTGCTTTTAGAAATATGGGAAAACCTTCAGGTAAGTATTTTTCCTAGGCAATCCTTGTCACTGCAGTCTCTAAAGTACAGCCAAATATCTAAATCAGAGGATGAGATCCCGGTGAAGGACCTGGCAGAAGAAGCAATCTTATGGGCATGTTATATGCACGGGAACTTGGCCTACCAGGTGACAACCCTAACTAGCTCATCTTTGACTGCTTCCACTAAAAGTCAACAATAAAAGTCTATTCTTGAGAGAAGTGGGGTCCAAAAGAGTTTATAACTCAGGCAGGCAGTTTTGTAGTTCGGGCTTTGCCCAGGAAGGTGTGCGTTTCCAGCAGCGCGCCGAGAAGCAAAGCAAGGGCAGCCGCGGCTAGCTAGAGAAGAACAGCATCTTCAAACACATTGCAAGCCGTAGGTGGGTTTTCTGAATGAGGAAAAAATTCATTAACTCGATGTCAAAGATCATGCAGAACTTAACAGAATCCCCCAGTAAAAGATGCTGGGCATTTCTTAGGACTCATGGATCTTTTCTTGAAGATTTGCAAAGAAATGCAAAGGAACTGCTCTACTTTTAGCACCATGCTGTGAGATGAGATGCCATCCTGCTGTACATTCTCTTTTATGGCCCACTTTCTATTTTTATTCCTTTTATACTGTGGAAATGTTTGCTAATAATGTGTGATAGGATGCTTTGTCATGGGGGAAAAAAATAAACCTTGTATCATTTATCTGTTTCTGAAAAGAAATTCTCAGTACAAGCCTAATAAGGAAAGAAATCCTATTCTAGCTCCTGTTGGAGGAAAGGGATTGATTTATGGAGAGAGATGAAAAGCGCTAAGTATGTATTGCTTGGCAAAATGAGGAATTGTAGAGAACTGTCTTTCTGCATTTGAAGGCTGTAAACATCAAAGAGGCAGCAGAGCTATTTAGAGCATTAGGAGGAGGCACATCTAGGAGACAAGAGTTGAAATTAAATGAACATCTTTAACTTAAAAATCATACTTTGGCCTGCAAATCTATTTCCTGGTATTATTACTTGTTGCACTCTGATGAGTATAAATGAAGCTTATGGAAAAAAATATCTGATCTATTTTTCATATCTGGTCAGCAGAGTATACTGCAAAAAAAAGTTTATAAAGCCCAGATCAGCTATCCCTGAAATTGTGGGAAAGAGCTTCCTTTAAATGAATTTTTTTCTCCCTCCAACAATGGTTGTTCAGTATAATGGGTTATTTTCCCCCCTGCGCTTTCTGATTGCAGGCAGTCCATTTTGGCTAGCCAGGATCTGACCCTCATTAAAGCGGGACTGGTGTAACCCATTTTTTACTGCAGCAGGTGAATACGTTTCCAATCATTAGTAATCCTTGTGAAGAAACAACAGCGGTCTAGCTCACGCCCGGCAGGAAGCCCACGCGCGTGCAACGCGGTCCTCTGGGACGCGCAGGAGACCTGCCTGCAATTCAGCTAATTGCCCGCTGTCCTGGGCTACAGCATCAGGAGGAGGAAAAACTCAGTAGGAAGCAAGTACCTGTGCTCTCAGAGAAAGCTTTCGACTGCACTTCAAAAGCTGCTGAACATCATGCAGCCCGACGCTATACAAAGATCTCAAGGACAAAGTTTTACTCGCAGTTAAATGAGGTTTTGAGGCCGACCCATGCCGGGCTGCGGGAGCGCAGGCAGAGCGGTGCCGGGCTTTGTCGCTCCCAGGCCCGCGGTGCTTCTGCGAGGGCCCAGAGTGCGCCGCAGCTACGGGGGTCTCCGCGTGCGTATGCACATACGGAAGGGTCATACAGCTGGGGGTTCCCCCAGGAAAAATATCTTCTGGTTACCTACCTCCTTCTGATAGCTAACATGCAGCCCACGGTAACGACACGTGCCCCTTGCAATTCGTCGTTTCTTGAGAAGCGTTTTACAGCTGACTGATATTCGCCGTGACAGGTGAAGGGAGCATGGGAAGGCAGAGGATGACTTGCTGAATTCTCCAGCTCTCCAGAGAAATCCTCAAATCCTTCCAGAATTATAGATTTCTTTTTTTTTTTTTTTGCCTTTTCTCCCTGAACTTCTAGTGTAAGGGGGATGTTGAACTCTGTTCTCACATTAGCTGTGGAAAAGCAGTGGAGAAGAAGTTTCCTGGGCTCCTTTGCTGCCTTCGCCCACAAGAAAAGATGTAAAACCCAGGGGGTCAAATGCAACTAAATTGCTAAGTCAAAGCATAGAGACCGTGCAGGCTGAGACTCTCGAAATGGCCTGATCTCTTCTGTCACAAACCAATCATTAAATACTAATTCCTGCATGTAAAGGGGCAGAAAAAAGGAAGAAAAATGATTAAAATAAAAAGCTTCTGATAATACAGAAGATTCACAAGCCGAAGTGTGATATTTTAACCAGAAATGTGCATTAATGTATAATAAATTCCATGGCTGTAAGTGACAAGCACTGATTTCTGTTCTGGGTGTTTCTGGCCCTAAAGCATCATAAGAACATTGTAATGAAGAAATGCTCAGAAGTAAATAGTAAAAGGATGAACCTCTAAGTGTAAAAAGTGAATTACACAACTTCTCAGGCCCTGCCTGGGGGCACCAGGATCCCAGGCTTGTTCATGTCTGAAAGTACCAGATCCTGCAGGAATCAGGTTACTGGTGTACTCACAGGTCTGTGGAAAGCCTGAGTGAAACCTCAGACAATGCCAGTAGGCTGAGGAAAACTTACCAAAAAGGTAGCTTGGATGCTGTGAAACTTCAGAATTGAAAAGGGAGAAACACTGGAAAATACCTCTATAAGGAAAATACCTCCTTCTCCTGTAGGACTTTCCCACTCAAAGCAGACAGCACAAACCCACTGGTTTTATTCCTTAAGCAATCAGCGACCTCTCCATGTTCATGCTAGAGAGGAAAAGGCCTGAGCTGCCAATGGGCCCACCTACGGCAGAGCTCGGGAGGACAGAGCCCCAGGTTGAGCTGAAATGGGCGCCTGGCCCATGGGCAGGGGGTGGTGCAAACCCCAAGTGAGGCTGGTTGGGGCCCGTGAGCAACCCTGGAAACCCCTTTGTTAGGGTTAGGGGTAAATAACTTGTTAATTTTGAGCTTACTTTTTCCTTTTTCTTCCTAGCAGCAAGAGGAAAAAATAACTTTTAAAAAATAACACTTCAGCATTCAGACAAGTAGGATGGACTTCTGGTGATCAAGTTCTGTGATTATTCAAAGATCAAAACTGAGTGCATCTGATAAAAGGCACATAGGAAAAATCATAGCAGCACAGTGGTTTAGCAGAAGCTCCTATGGCATGGGACATAAGAGACTGAGGAATATTCAAGAAGGTCAAACAAATGGAAGGAGATCTTTAAGCATTCACGATATTTTCATGCTGGGCCTCCTCTATCCTTTCATCTCCCCTGGATGCGAGTGCACCGTTCGCACTGTGGGCGTTCATCTGCTGTGGCAATAACTGGAGCAGAAAGACAGTAGCCTGTCTAAGGGCCAGCACGTAGCTGCATTGCCTGCAGTAGGGCTCAAGAAGAAATTAGTCTGCTGTGACTTTCCTGATGCCATGGGCTGCCGTGGAAGACACACCATGCCAGTCTGCCTGGCTATGTAAGTGAGAGATGAGTCCATTTATTTCAGGAGTGAATTTGGCCTGGGGTCGGTGCTATTTAGGATGAAGTTGGAATCGATGACCTGTGGAAAGCACTTGTCCAGCACCTGGTTCAGTTAAGAGTCTAATCTGCAGATGGCAAAAGCTGAATTCTGCACCAAGCAGAATGCATCCAAATGCTGTCAAAGTTTGTTATTGAGGTTAGCGTTTTCCCATTTCTGAACGACATGGACTTTTTTCCTCAAGGCATCATGCCAATTTCCAAAGCATTTCACTGTCTTGTAGATGTCCATTCCTTAATGCTTCCCTTAAAGGACAAATCTGAACATCCTCCCAATAGTCTCTGAAATTCTTCTCACAATTAGTTATTAAAATAAAGCACAGGCACAAAAAAGAGGTCCAGGTGCGAGGCGACCACAGAGG